AGGTAGCCAGATTTCAGACGACCAGACAGCGATTTTGATGTTTAGCTTTGGCTAATTAGCAAACCCACTTCTAGCGACACATTCTTTGGCGAAATTGGAGGAAACGAGAACACAGAATTGTGTGGATAGGTAGATAGGCCATATGAATTAAGGTTTATAGAAATAGATGCGGCACCAATCAGTAGAACAAAAAATAGGGGCGAGCAGTGATGCCAAATAAGTTGAACATAAAATTGACCATTCCGATTACCTTAACTTGTCACTGTTAAGTTATAACTCTACTCTAACGATAGCGCTTCTCACTGACGATGTCGGCAACGTTTGGGAATGCGCCAAATCCATGCTCCGATGCTTGAAATCACGAATACTATGGCCGAGGACACAGAGCTAGGTACACTCCACGAGGACTCCCTGACGCTTCGACCAATTTGAGGAAGCAGGGTCGAACCAACACTATAAAGCTAAACTAGATTGAGACCAAACATAAATATACGCTGATATAGATCATAAACTTTTTTCTACATTAGTTTTCAGTATATGAAGAACAAACACACAGAACTAGACTTCCCTTGATATCATTAGGTAACCTGTCCTTCATTGTCGTTCGGACTCTGAAAGATGTCTAAAATATCTTAATGAGTTTCTTAGGTATTATTATCCGTACAAATGAAAACATAATACGATTTTCTTAATCAGGTAACGCAAAATCCATTCGACATTTGCTTCTATTGTTAGAAAAAATTAGTAGTAGTAGTAGCCTTACTGCTCAAGCCATTCATGAGGATAACTTAAATGAATAATTATACCTGGCCTTTAATGCTCATTTTTAAAGTATTAGGTAGTGTTAAGAGAAAGATAACATCTAAATTATTTGGAGTACCGCAATATGTTCTCCTGAAACAAGGCCCAGAAGTCATTGTGTCGTAGTAAAACACCAAATGAGTTAATAGAGTTTCAAGACTAACAGTAAATCAGTAATATGAGATGTATTCACCATATTTGGTTTAATGTGATGAAGGACTGGTAGTAGAGCTGACGTTTTCATTGAATTTTACATAGCCTTGCTTTCCCAAAAGTTATCGTCTAAGGAGGACTACAGTTTTGAACTCGCATAGGTCTTATCATATTACTGATTTACTGGTAGTCTCGAGACTAATTATATACTAAAAATAAGTAATGTAGTCAATAGTTATATAAAAAAATACGTTTGTTTCATCGACAATCCCACCAAAGAATGTGAAATGACAAAAGGCCTGGCCTTTCTTGAAATTCACATCTGACCTGTGACCGAAGAACCCTCGTGGCAATGTGGCCAAGTGGTTAAAATGTCAAGCTTACATTCTGCACTGTTACGGTAAGACTCCGGCCGGGGGTGTTGATAAGACCGATGCGAGGTCGAAAATGCAGCCCACCCTGGATGATAACAACTTTTGGGAAAGCAAGGCTATGTGAAATTCAATGTAAACGTCAGCTCTACCCATATCATTGTGGGAAAATTCTACTACCAGTCCTTCAGCAGCTTAAACGAAATAGGTTGAATACATTTCATATTACCAAATGAGTAGTCAGTTACTGCATATCTTCCGGGGAAAGACCGCCTGACAAACATGGATTTGAAAAGTTTATTCAAATCAACAAGCAATGCCGAGTTCTAGCCTCTTTATTTCTTCTTAACAGGATTTAAAACGAATTATATACATAAAAAGGAGCTCTGATGGATTATATATATATATATATATGGAAAGATTTATTAAAGAAAGACCAGTAGGATTTAGAAAATCCATGTAAATGAAGAAAGGTCATAATCTAAGTCAATAATAAGACATAATTTGTCATTTTGAAGAATAGCACTCGGGTATTCCATTGCCTGCAGCCAAGTAGGCAGACTGACTCGAAATAGTTGTACAGAAACCACATGTACAATTTAATTTTAGTTATTTTTTTTCCTTGGTACCGTACAATTTTGTATTTATGAAAATCACCAAAAAGAAAAGTTTGAGCATGAAAATAAACATAGAAATGGAGAATGATGAGTTGACTGAGAAATCCAACACCGCCATGGACAATTATTAGGTTTCATAACACTCTAGCGTATTATTTGGCTTCACAATCACTCCATTTCTGAGAATCAAAAAAGCATTAAATACAAAATATAATTCATCTTTAGAGTGATACGCCAATTCGGCAAAGCAAGCTTTCAAAAAATTGGTCGCAATGGCACATGCGAAAGAAAGCTTGAAAAAGTAAGAGGGTTTTGATACATGAACGAATTAAGCATTTGAACAACTGAAATAAAACTATCAATGAAAAACAATGGGTAAGCAAAGTCGCTTTGTAGAATTATAAGCAAGAAACTGAGCGATAGGTATCTACAGCTCCCAGACAGTTCGGTAAAGGCAATGGAGAGAACCATTCATGAAAAGGTGATCCAAGTTCAAAATACAGACAGCAAAATATCAACTAAATAAAATTTCATTAGTGTCATCATAGATTAAAAGCAAGCAAACATGATGGTATGTTTTATTTTCGACTACTCGGAAGTCGGGTTTGAGTAAGCAATACGATCACATCCACTACACAGAAGTCAAATTCTACCCAAATAAACAAGCATTAAAGTAAAGGCTTTTGCTGAGTGTGCTAGAAAAGGCTACTAAAGTTAAAGGTTCTTTTAAGTCTCCATGTAAACATTAAGACAAAAGAAATATATACAATAAGAAGAGATCATCCTGGTATTGATATCTACATTCTAAATATATTATAAAGTATCGAATATAAGCATAATTTATACAGAATTATCGAAGTGTCTATCTGAAATCAGTTAAATTCTGTACATGAATGGGACAACATCAATTGTTGTGATATGGGAAACAAGCATTTAAAGAGAAATATATACCAAGCAGTACAAATAAAATGCCTATCTAGACATGGTGAGGAAAGCTGTGGTTAAATAGGTAAACATCAATAAACAAGTAAAAAAGAAGGAAAGACAAGTTACCAAATGATTTGAAGGAGCAACGCTTTCATAGACTTGCTTTAATCAATCTGGCAGTGGCATCTGAATCTCATATGCAACTTTAAAACTGCTAGAAATAATCGTTGGGAGCATTGGAAGAATAGTATGCTTGATGGAAGGAACAGAAAATCACAAAAAGCAGTAAGTAAACACGATTGCAACAAAGTGATAGTTACAGAAAGCGGTAAATATAAATAGGGAGATAACTCGAGCAAAGCCGTAGGCTCTGAGCTAAAGTATTCAAGCAGAAAATACTTGAAGAATTCGTTAAAGTTGATTAAAAAAAACTCTTGGTATAAGGACTTAATGAAGCATGGAATAGCGTATCGATATGAGGAGTGAAGAATGACTTTGAAAGTTTAAATGCGCGATAATAATTTGGTTTGAAAGCTTTATATTTGGCCGTGAAAGTAACTACCGCCGACAAAGGCGCATAAGTCCACTGAGTGAGTTGCAGCCTGCAGGTGAAGCTGTGAGACCGACAGCGGCCACAGAATTTCCAGGCGTAGGGATCAAGGCCTGATGATGATGTTGACTCTGCTGCTGTTGATGGTGATGGGACGCGGGCTGAGACAAAGCTGAGGCGTATGCGTCCTGGGAGAGACCTGCAGCAGCGGCAGCAGCCGCAGCAACCATTAGCTGACTTAGAGGAACATTAAGCACAGCATTAGCTGGGCTGACATCATCTCGGTCTTCGCGATCTATCCCAGTAGCCGATGACGACACTGTTTGGCTCCCACTAGATGCCTCAGGGCCAGCGCAACCACCAGTAGGAGATGAGCTGATGCCAACAATACTACTTACAGGTCCATTATTAGCATTGTTAACGATACCACCGCTAGCGGCAGAAACACCAGTTCTACCGGAACCGCCAAACAGCCGTCCGGGCCCACCTCCGCTCCCACTCACTATATCGGTACCATTGCCTGTCGTACTGGGCATTCCCCCACCACTACCCAAGCCTGAGAGCGCAAAAAATGGACTGTTACTATTTGTGGTTCCCTTCTGAGTTGCAATTTCGATAAGCTCAGCATCACTCGGCTGCCGAGTAGCAACTGACAAGAGAAAGAGCATTTCCTCGTGAATGCGAGATTCAGGGAACTCCACCTAATGTACGAAAACAAATCAAAGTTAAAATAAATAAAGTAAAAAGGAATATATTCTTAAATATGAATGTATACATATATTAAGATAGATAAGGTAAATATGAGGCATTTGGACTTTCCAGTTCAGATTCAAAATTTAAAAAACGCATCATGATGGCAATCAGAGTAGGTGGATAGAATTAAATCTTTAAACTAATTTATATTACTTCCTAGTCCTACTGATTGTACCGAGTGGTAGTTAATCTTAAGTCTTTTTTACTATAGCTATTTTGATTCTAGTCAATTTTGTTGGCCAGTTTCATAACATGACGCCTTGGAAGATGCATCACTCTTCTCCACGATTAAGTGAGTTAATTCAATCACTGACACAATATTCATGGAACTAATGAGTTATTTCTCTGAGATATTCGCAACCACCAAGGTAATGTCTTCGGAGACATTCCTTTTTGGAAAGAAAGAAAAATTGATTAATTATTTAGGATTTCCGAGGTTTCGGAATAAAGTGGGATCGTTACTTGGAGCAG